ACTATCATTTTCTTTAAGTTTTATTTTTATTTCCTGAAAACTGTACTCACATGGATAACATGCAATGAGGGGGCCCAAAATTCTGGCATTAAAGAATTGAGAAATTTTTAATAAAATGTACTACCCCAAACAATTTTAATTTCCAAATTCCTCAGTAGAGAGACTAAGAAAGAACTTGAGCTTCATATTTTAAATTTTTGAGTTTAATTATTCATGAATTGTGGCATAACTGAATACAGAGCTCTGTTGTGTAAGTTTAACAAATACTTTTGATAACTACATAACAGACAATATCTTGAGCCTTTTTATTCATACTACATTAGGTAAATATTATAATTTTCTGTCTACTTTCATGTATCGACTCCAGATCAAAGCAATAACAATGTTACTTACTTTTCAATTTATTTGATCTTCTCTAAGCCTTAGGCTATTTGAATTCAAAGTATGAGTGATTCAATTGCAAGTGAAAGGAATTTCTATTACCTAAATATAAATTCAAGGTGGTAAAAGAGCACAACTTATACAACAAGCAGATGCTGATAAATAAAAGGGAAAAAATCAAAATGTCAATATATTCAAAAGTTATTGAAGCTATTTCTCAAATGGAGGGAGGAGGAGAGAAAAGAGGGTGGTGGAGGGGGGCAAACTCAAGTATGATTTATTTGATACATTGTAAGAACCTCTGTAAATGCCGCAATGTACTCCCACCCAGCACAACAATAAAAAAAACTCAGTTTATATTTTCTTAAGTGCTATTTTATTCTTAGTTAGCATATAATAACTGTATAGCCATCTGCATTAGCTAATGATCAATGCAGTCTTTAGGACATCCATCACTTCAAACATTTATAATTTTTCTGTGGTTTAAATTTTATTTTAATTTCTACTTAATTTAGATATTACTTCACTGCTACAGAGTAAACTCTGCTCCCCTAGGGGTATTTTTGTCATCCAATAAAATCACTAGTGTCCTATACCTGTATGTTGTCTAATTTAAAGAATAGAAAGTGTACATCTTCCCTTGTTTATTGTGCTCATTTTAATACTGGAATTAACAGAAAATTTTCTCTAGTATAGTAGAATAACAACAGTTTTTAATTAAAAGTTTGCATTAATATTGCAACATTTTTCTTCTGATCTTTAGTTCATTGAAGCATGGACATTTTTTGGTTATATAATTGAGTTTTTGTATGAGAAATAAAGTTTTGAATTGGCAGCAGAGTGCAAATTTAGTTAAAGACACAATTCCTGTAATGACCAAGATGGTGCCATAGTCAAATAGTTCTCACTGCTTATATTGCTCAGACCTTTATTTCAATTTCACATAATGTTTATTTAGTTGCTGATATTGGGCCACTGTTAGGAATTTTTTAATCTTTCGAGACAATTTGGTGTATATATACAGCTCATGTAAAGTTAATTAAAACAAGTAAGTTCAAATTTTTTAACTTTATTTTAAGAAATTATCCAACTTTAAAAAACCTCAACACAGAAAATTTACTTAAATTATCTTACCCAGAGAAACTGTACATATATAAAAATTAATTCCTCATAAAATTATTACTGGAGAAGCATAAAACTTTTGTATTTCAGAGTTATTTTTCTTCCTTCTTTCATCTTTATAATTGAAGAAAAAGAAAGATATTAAATGTAGATCTATACATATATACGTATCTATATATATATCTATAGATATGAATATATACATATATATTATATATACACATATATATACATATATTATATATACATATATATATTATATATATATACACATATATATGTATATGTATATATATAGAAATGGGGGAACATTTCTCTTCTTTAAGTTGAGGTTAAACTGGGAAAAATTAAACTGTGATATATGTTTTTTTTATTTTGAAAAAAAATAGGTTTTCAAAGACAATATAAAAAGGCACCCAAGTCATGAGAAAAGACTTTCTAAGCAAACAGAAATTACCAAAACAACCTGGTGAGAAACTATCTGCTTCTATGTTTTAAAGATTATACAATGACTGTAAGAATTTTTTCCAATTTTCAAAGAACATATTCAATACAGTAGATGAGAATAGATGAGTTTAGAAATAATTCTCCTTTAGAAAGCAGACAATAATGGGCAGTTGAGAAAGGAAGAGTACAAAAGCATGGATACAACATGGCTGAAGTCGTAACATCAGCAAATAGAGTGTACGATCCTTGTCAAGCCAAAACACCATCAACTGGATTCTATTCTGCTGTAAGAAAAAAATTTCTTCATAACAACTACAAAAGAAACAGCTAAATAGAAAATACTTTGATTTATTTATCTATCCAGCACTCTCCAAGTGCTAAAGGAACCCATAGAAAAGAATCCAAAGAAAAACAACCTAAACTAAAATAACTTATTTGAAAAACCGAATTTTACATTTAAATTTTTTGATAGCAAAAATGATACCTGTTAAAACTACTCCAGGAATTGGGGTGAAGAGGAATGAAAGAGAATGGTAGAGGAGGTGAATTCATGTATGCTATATTTCATACATTGGAAGAACCTGTGTAAATGCCACAATGTACCCTTACCCATCTCTACAATAAAAAAAAAATAGATGCAATATGTCCTTTCTCTCACACTAAAAAGGAAGTTTGATGAGAGTCAGAATTTTTTCCTCTGCTTTCCTCATTGCCATACACTTACTCCACAAAAGAATGCCTAGGATTAAACAGATGCATAATAATGTATTTATCATAGGGAATACACCTGGCATATAGAGAGTACATTTGTCCTTACCATGGTCAGGATGAAATATAACTTTTAATGAGCCATTTACACTTGACCTAATTCCATGCTAACCAAAGAGCCATTCAATTAGTGAGCCATTCTCTCCAACAAGCAAAAGCATTCTGTATACTAATCGGAAGGTTATATTCTTCATTACAAGGTGTAATTTCTATTTTATTCAAATACTCAATAATTCAAAAACTGTCCTCTCTGACCCAGGGTTTGAACATGAAAAAGTTGATTTTTTAAACACTTCATGCATGTCACCAAAACCAAGATTTCCAAGCCAACGCCTGTTTGAAAAAAAAAACCTATGATACGAATAAAGAAAAGAACTATCCAGAAGGAATAGAGAATTTGGAGAGCTTGTATAAATTGATTATTGTGGGAAGCCCTGAAATTTCTTCTTCTACTCAATTTTACATTTTGTTTTTAAATTATATGATCACTCTTTGTGACAGAATTGAGTGATTTAAATCTATAAATAACAATCTATAAACCTTCTGTTGATTTACTATACCCTTTTGACCTGAATCATTATCTATGAAGATGAAGGCTTGAGACAAGAACGATCTCACTTATTTCAGATATGACATATCAGATCTCAAATGATTATGGCATACCTACTCAGAACAATCTCAGAGGTCTCTTCAGAGAATGGCATGGCTTTCCTGTTGTTAGGTCATTTTATATGAGACTCTACTTTTGGTTCAACAATTCTCAGTACACCAAGAAATGAGAAAAGAAGTCTGACCTGCCATTTGGAAAACCAGGACCATAAAACAAGTGGATGACCCCCAAATTCATGTGTCAAAATTTGAATCCTTAATGTAATGGCAGTAGGATCCCTGGGAGGTGATTAGGGCACAAGGCAGCCTTCATTAGTGGGATTAGTGCCCTTTTGAAAGAGGCCCAAGAGATTTCCCTCACTCTTTAACCATCTGACAAAGTGAGCAGCCTCTGAGTCAAATGGTAGGCTCTCACCAGACAGAAAATTTGACAGTAACTTCTCCTTGACCTTCCCAGTGTCCAGAACTATAGAAGCAAATATCTACTGTTTGCAAGTCCTAGACCACTATCTAGCACGTAGTTTGAATGAATAAATATGAAAATGGATGTATGAATGTGAATTGTTCCTTAAAGGCCTGATTGCTTCTAAACAAAACAAATGCAGCCTTGTCTAGGTTGGTAAACTCCAGGCCAAACCTAGCACTATAAAAACAAGCCTATGGTACTACTTCTCTATGAACCATCTTTAGGATTCTAGATGCCTTTCTAATCTTCTCTTTTTCTGCTAACGTCATTAAATTATACTGTACTTACCTTAATCCTATATATTTTATTTGTTTTTGAAAGGTTAGTTCACTATTGGTCTTGATAAGATTAATAATAATAATAATAATACAAGCATATTTCTTAATGGCTGTATATATCTATTTCAACATTTGCAAAGCACAATATAAGAGGTGGCTTTGAAACTCAAATAAAATACTGTGGAAGCAACTGATAAAATATAATAACTTTACCATTTTATATTCTTATTTTAATACAATTACTGGAATAAATTTTCATAAATTCTATTCAAATTGTTTCCCCCATTCGATCATCCACTCATGCAATAAGTATGGAGCATATGTAATATTTCAAGATACCCTACGGATATAGAAGTAAAAAAAAAAACTGGTATTTCATGCCCTTTTCGAGGTTTATACATTCTAGTCTATGTATTTGGGAGATGGGGGAAACAGACAATGGCAAAAATATGCATCACTAGTATTAGTTTTCTATTGCTATTGTAAATATTGCCATCAATTTAGTAACAGGAAATAGCATAATATTATTATCTTATAGTTTTTCCAAGTTCAAGGTCCAACAGAGAAGTCTGGAGTGGTTCTAAACTAGAGTACTTGCCTAGCATATATAAGGCCCCATCAATGCCCAGTATCACAAAAAAAAAAAAAAAAAGAGTCCAACACAAGTTTCATTGGGCTAAGATCTTGGTGTTGATAAGGGTGCAACCTCTCTGGATGCTCTAGGACTGTTTCTTTACCTTTTCCTACATCTATACACCTTCCTTCATCATCAAAGCCAACAATCTTTCTTCTCTCTGGCTATCTTTTCATAGTCATCTCCTTCTGACTACAGAAGTGGTTACATATTAGGCGTAAATAATTCAAGATTATCTCCCTGTCTTAAGGTCCCTAATTTGATCATATTTGCAAAATCTCTTTTGGTATGGAAGATGGCATATGCACATATGCCATATGTGAAGGTAACTTTGGAGCCCATGATCCTGTATATTCAACCATGTCACGTAGCAAAGAGGGCTCTGAAGAAAATAAAGATCAAAGCAGCCAGAAGGTAATGGGGAAATGCTTCCTTTTCTTAAATTTGCCAAAAATATCTGAAATGTGAGACCAGCACTTCTCACACAGATTTATTTTAAATTGAATAAGCAGAAGACACAACATGACACCTATCAAACATGTAAAGGGCATAATAGTGGTAATCAGAGGTTATAGCACGACTACCTATTGTTAGTGAACAACTGTGCCTAAGTGCTTTTGTGACATAGACTTCCTCTGGTTACTTTTGTCATCTTCAAGAAATTCCCACCTTTGCAGCAGAGAGATCTCCTCCATACTTATGAACCAATCTGCTGTGGTGGCCATCTGCCAGAAGAGTTAAAGTTCTTGCCATCATAAACTGACTATTTATTTGGATCTTCTTCAAATCACATCAACACTTTCTAAAGCTGAATAAGGATGGGCAAAATCCCTTAATTACTGTTGCTAGACATCACTATTTCTCCTGATTTGCAACCTCATTTGCTTATTAGCTGCAATATTATCTTCTGTCCTTGGCTTCTCCTAATCTTTCTTTCACCCTTTGAATCAACACTATTCTGTAATTGTGTCCTCTAAAATATTGGGCTTTTTTTTACTTTTTTCTTTTACCTGACACACTGAATATTTATGGAGCTTAGTGTGATATTTCAGTAAGTTATCCAGTGTGTAATGATCAGATACAGATAATTGGCACATCCTCCACCTCAAACATTCATTACCTCTTAGGGCTGGGAACATTAAAAATTCTTTCCATTGGCTATTTTGAAATATATGATTAATTCTTGTTGACCATATTTATCATATTGTGCACTAGAATGTACTCCTCCTAACTAAATGTACTCCTATGCCTACTGACCTTCCACCTCCTCCACCCTCACCCCACTACTTCCCAGACTCTGGGAACCTCTATTCTTCCTATTACTAAGCTTTGTACACTATTAAAAGCAAAAGTCATATTATGTATCATGTATTACTGACCACCATTAAAGATTAGAAATTATCAGCAATGTAATTACCAAGAAAGCTAAAGCTTAGCTGTTTTTTACCTAGTTTTCTAATTAAAATTTTAATTAAGATGCAAAATATGTTACATATTTTCTTTAATTGAAGATATTCAAAAATTACTCTTTCCTTGAATTAGAGACATTATTATAGTCATTCATTACTGTCTTAAACTGCAGTGGATTATTTTTTCATACTTGTTTTCAAAATGTCATAATATGTGCTAATTCATTTACAATTTACCTGAGCTTTATAATTTTCAATTTGTAACCTATGGTCTAAATGCATATGTAACCAAGTATATCAAAGTAGTTTGAAAACCTCAAGATAATCAACAAGAAATAAATGGTCTTAGAGATTTCCTATAGATGTAGTGTGCGAACTTGAATGCACAGAGGTCTTTACTATGAAAGGTAGAATTTTATTATTTTGCATTATTTCTGTTGTTAAAACTGTAGCTATTGCATTTTCTCCTCTTGCAACATTAACTTGCACTGGTTATCTTCTTATTGCTTTGTGAACTATGTAAAAAAATATAACTTCCCTATAGTGCTACTTTCTAAAAACACAGAGGACTATACATAGTTCCTGCCAGAATAAAAGGAACTTCTCTTTACTGAGAAAAGGAAGTTTTCAGCTGTGGTGTAGAGAGATTAGGGGATTTGTGGAAGAACTGCCTAGAACTGACTACGTGAAGCTAAGATAACACAGTATAGGAAAACTAAAATGAATTTAAGTGTTCTTAAATTCTAAATGTTTGGATTACTTTCCCTAACTTGTTCCATCACTCTAACATAAATTATAGAAAACGTGGTAATTTAGAAGTTGTTAAAGGAAAAGAAAATTTTAAGCAAAGAAAAACTGGGAAATGAGATTTGAAATATCCTATCCTCTGCAATGCATATTGCCTCATATGACAAACTGGCAGCGTGATTCAAGAAGCAGTGAGGGAACTGTGAAATGTGGATGTTCTTTTTTTATTATTATTCATTTATTCACATGTGCGTACATTGTTTAGGTAATTTCTCCCTCTTGCTTTCCTTCCCCCACCTTCTTCCCTCCTCCCCCCCCCAAGCAGAACCTGTTCTGCCCTTATCTCTAATTTTGTTGAGAAAACATAAACATAATAAGGAAGACAAAGATACCTTAAAAGCAACTGAGGCCAATAAGAAAAGGGGACCAACTAGAGAAAAGGTTAGATCAAAAAGAATTAACCTAGAAGATAACACACACACACACAGGAAATCAATGTGAGTCAACTCCCTGTATAGCTATCCTTATCTCAACCAGCAAAAACCCTTGTTCCTTCCTATTATGGTTTATACTCTCTCTTCAACAAGATTAGAAATAAGGGCAAAATAGTTTCTGCTGGGTATTGACGGGTGGGGGGAGAGGGAGGGAGCAGACTGGGTGGTAAGGGAGGAGGTGGGGGCAGGAGGGAGAAATGACCCAAGCCTTGTATACACATATGAATAATAAAATTTTAAAAAAAGAGCGTTTTTGCTAGTTGAGTTAAGAATAGCTATACAGAGAGATTCCTAGCATTGCTTCCATGTACAAGTGTGTTACAACCCAAGTTGATTCATCTCTAACTGATCTTTACACTGGTTCCTGAAACCCTTCTCATGTTGACCTCTGTCACTTTAAGCTTCTGTATTAGTTCCTCTGGAGTGGGGACATCAAACACTTTCAGGTTTTGGGTTTTCTACCTATTCACATATCTCCCTTATGTGCTCTTCCCTTGTCATGTGACCCAAGTCCAATCACATTGCTGTATTTGCCCTAGATCTGAAGTTCACATATGAGGGAGAATATACCATTTTTGGTCTTCTGAGCCTGGCTAACCTCACTCAGAATGATGTTCTCCAGTTCCAACCATTCACTTGCAAATGATAAGTTTTCATTCTTCTTCATGGCTGCGTAAAATTCCATTGTGTATAAATACCACATTTTCTTAATCCATTTGTCAGTAGTGAGGAATTTTGGTTGTTTCCATAACTTGTCTATTGTGAATAGTGCTGCAATAAACATGGGTGTGCAGGTGCCTCTGGAGTAACCTGTGTTGCATTCCTTTGGATATATCCCCAGGAGTGCGATTGCTGGATCATATGGCAGGTCTATGTTCTTTAATTGTCTCCTCATCTTGGTGTGCTGGTCTATCTTCCACATAGCTTTGTCTTTCCAGAATGCCTCATATTTCTTTAACCTTTGCAGCCAGCTTAATGCCTACTCATCAGACATCTTCCTGTGCTTTGTTTGCTCTCAGAAGCCTCATGCACCCATCACCCTACTCTCATCACACCAATATGGCTGTCTACCCACATGTCTGTATTCCCTTGTTGAATCTAAACTCCATGGAGACACACACATGTTTTTTCTTAACTGTTGTAGCATGAATAAGCAGTTACTCAGCAACTGGCACATACTTAATTCTCTCATACAGTTTGTGACAAAGTAAACACTGTGATAATTGGGTATTCTTCAACTGATACTTGGCCTTACGATGAACTCCAGCCCTCTTAGCAAAGACTGCACTTGAAGGGCATAGTGCCTGCTGGGAAGAGGAGGCCTCCCTCTCAGGCCACACAATCCTCAGGTGTTTATTCCTATCATCATCTTTTCCTTTGTCAAGAAAATTTTTCAAAGACTATAAAAATACAGGATGAAAATGCACCCTGTATTGCCTTTGAACTATTTTATACATCAGTAAATTGTAGAAAATTGACAGTAATGCAAATGAATTGCATCCTCCAGTAGACTGCAACTGATGATTTTCCTATGTATTTGAGCTAATATTGCATTTAGTTATAAAAGTGTTTATCTTTCTGAATGCCTTCATATGTATGTGTTATGTAATTTTTCCTTAAACCTAGTTTATTTATAGAAATTGGCATATATATCTTACATTTGTGTATAACTTAACATTTTATCTTTTAAAAATTATTCTTTCACACCTGTTAAAATTTACAAAAGAAAACCTATTCAGCTTCAACCAAATGAAAGGCCTAAAAATGTATTTTATAAAGTATGTGTTGAGAATATCACGAGTTTGATTTTAAAAACAACATAAAGCTGACAGAGCTAGAGCTGCGCAAGGCAAGGATGGCGGACGCAGATCTCGCGTTTCCATTATGTACACAGCTCCACTGCAAAGGTGGTCAATGTACTTAAAACTCGAAGGACCTTCTGTAAGAAGTGCGGCCAGCATCAGCCTCACAAAGTGACCCAGTATAAGGGCAAGGATCCCCTGTATGCCCGAGGAAAGAGACGCTATGATAGGAAGCAGAGCAGCTATGTTGGGCAGACAAAGCCAATTTTCCTGAAGAAGGCTAAAACCACAAAGAAGATTATACTGAGGTGTGAATATGTTGAACCTAACTGCAGATCCAAGAGGATGCTGGCTATTAAGAGATGTAAGCATTTTGAACTGGGAGGGGACAAGAAGAGAAAGGGCCAAGTGAACCAGTTCTGAGAGTTACGACTTTTTTTTTTTTTTTGGTCTTAATTCGAGGGTGAGATACTGAAACTATATAAAAATTGCCTGTTGGAAAATAAAATTAGTGTCAATCCCCCCACCCTCCCCCAAAAAATCTGACAGAACAAGTATTGTCCTGTCATCCTCTGCTTGGTCTTCATAACAGTGACATAATCACCTCCTTTAACTAATAACATCAGGCTAAGCACATATTTTTAATGACTAAATGCTATTTAATCTTTAATTTTAAAGGGAGCATTAATAATGCAATTCCATAAAAGTAAATGAAGGTGAAGATGTATGCCAACATCAATTTACAACTTTCTTCTGTTTAATTAATATTATTACATGTTTTAATTTGAAGTGTGTTTTGCTCATCAACATGAGATGTTTAATTTATATGAATCTTCATTCAAAGGACGGCCTCCAGAGAAGCCACAATTTAGTCTGAGCTGTGCATACAAATTTTGGAAAAAGTATTCAGTTCACAGTGGACTTTGTGGCAAGTAGTCACAATTATGTTGAGCTTACAATGATACAGGATTATTCTTAATAAATTACTTCAACATAATTGATAACAAAAACACTAACTGGGTGACTCCCAGGTTCTGGTTCTTCTTCAATTCCTGAACAAGTAGATTTTCTTATATTACTTGAACACACTTTCCTACTGATGCCACTTGCCAGGTATTCGTTGTCCTTGCTCAGATCAGAGCAGTAATCCTTCACCTGATCTCTCCCGATCTGTTTTCATCATCTAACATACAGCCATAGTGGTTACTTGACTCAACTCAGTATCTTCTACATTCTTCTGTAATTCTTGATTTTTTTAACCTTTAGAGAACACAAATTTGATAATGTTAGTACTTTATGCAAAAAATGTTCCAATGAGCTGGGCCCAGTAGCCTATGTCTTTAATCATAGCTACATGAAGGTAGCAATTGGGAGGGTCATGGCTTAAGGCTAATCTGGGGGGAAAAAAAAGAAAAACATTAACACAATCTTATTTCAATCAATAAAACCCTGAGTGTGGTGGCGTGAACCTGTCATCAAAGCTATTCAGGAAGTGTAAATAGAAGGATCTCAGTCTAAACTGGCCCTGTCATAAATCCATGACTCTGTTGAAAAAACAACTAAAGCAAAAAGATATGAGGGTGTGGCTTACATGGCAGAATACCTGCCTAGTGAAGATAAGATCCTGAGTTCAAAGCCCAGTACAACACTATGTTCCAGTAAGTTTTCTTGTCACTTATTTCCAATTTCTCACACTCTATGCTATCTGCATATTTCTCCTTGTGGCACTCAAAATTTTCTTCAGCTCTTCATATACCCTGCCTATGATATTGTGCAACACAACACATTCCTTCACATTCTAACTAGTTCTTACTCATCCTTCCAATCTTAGTTCAAAATAAGCTTTTGTGTGAAATCTACCACAACTGCCTGGTAGAGACTGTCTTCTGAGCATCCAAAGAACTCCATCTATATGCAGTTCCTCCCTTTTCTATAAATTTCTTGAGAAATGGAATATTATTTTATCTGTAATATACTGACCTATTTATTGTATATTTATTATATATAATAATATTAATATAGTATATTAATAATTAAATATTAATGTATTTATTATATTAATGGAAAGTAGTAACTCAAGAAGTCCTTCTGAATATACTTTTTTATAAATATGAACTTGTATGTTATGCAACCAATTTCTAGCAACCAATTAGGTTATCTATCAGCAAGAACATTGAACAACTAATTTCAGGGTCCTTTTGAAACTGACACAAAAATTACAAAAATAGAAAGCACAGAACAAATAATAGATTTATTCTCCTTAACATTTTATTTTGCCCAGGGGAATATTATGGGAAATTATACCAAAGTATGAAAATTATACCTTAGAAACACATAATTTTATCAAAATGTACAAAGACCTTACTATTAGTAAGATATTCAGGGTACAAATATCATTAAGATACTTCTCAATCAGCTTTTTTCCAGAATATCAAATTATTACATATGAAGTTTTTGGTATAATAAGTCAAAAGTATTTGACTATTGTACATTTCATATAAAACTAAGACTATGGATAGATATAGAACTTAAAATATCAAAAGTACATGGTCTCAAGGCTCTGAATACAAAAAGAAGTTACTAAATACAAAGAGAAAGAAAAACTTCCACAATTATGGACAGAATTCAGAAAATCCACAAATAGGCAGTAGGGATTGAGATAGATCATATAACATTTGCACAATTTCAAAAGATAAAAATGACATTTCAATTAGAAGGCACAAAAAATGTTTAAAGGGAAACTGGAAGTCTCTCAAAGCCTGTTTTGGATAAAGCATGGAAATATAGTTAAATTAGCTCAACTACAGGAGGATGTATCATATCTCAGATATTAATTATACTATTCTAACCAAACTTAATTTGAAATGCCAGCTTACCTACTTCATAAGCCATATAACCTCATGTAAGTCATTTACTCCATAGTGTTTGATGTCTCCACTGCAGAGGAGCTAATACAGAAACATTAAAGTGACAGAGGTCAATATGGGAAGGGGATCAGGAACTAATGAAAAGGTCAGGTAGAGATGAATCAATTTGGATTGTAACACATTTGTACATGGAAGCAATGCTAGGAATCTTTCTGTATAGCTATCCTTATCTCAACTAGCAAAAATGCTTTTATCTTTCTTATTATTGCTTATGTTTTCTCTTCAACAAAATTAGAGATAAGGGCAGGACAGGTTCTGCCTGGAAGTGGGAAGGGGCGTTGAGGGGAGAGGGAATAAATGAATAAAAAAATTTTAATGTGGAAAAACAATAATGAGGCTTAAATGATATCAACATTTGCAAGACAAATAGTAAAGCTACATATGGATTTACTAATGTTTACTAATATTTTCCATTCTCTTTTTTTTTTTCCTCCCTCCATTGACTGGATTCTACCAGTTCATCTTACTTGTTGCCCAGCATGAAAACTTCCTAACTCCTCTCCACAGCATGAAACTACTTTCCCTCTGGCAACATAATGCTGGTTTAGGGTCAGATGTATATTTGAGTTCACACTGGCTAGACATAAGAAATTAATGGTATCCTAGGATAGAAAGAATGCTGAGGAACCCAGTAATAAAATATGATTTAAAGGAAACATGCATCTTTTATTCTAATAAAAGTAAGTAAGTTCAGTAAGATGATTCTGTGTTCATAACCACTCATCCATGATTATTTTAGAAGATGTAAAATGACCAGACAAATTAAAGTCCAACTTGAGGGCTATGACTATTCTGACAAGGAGTGAGACTTCATTTGTGGGTAATAGGGAAAAAAATCAAAGACATTATGCAATAAGGTATATTTAACAATATAATACTGAAAGCAATATGGAAACAGTAAAGAGAGAGAAGTGCATGTGAGGTAAGAAGAAAGGACATGAAAATATTTTGTGACTTGACCAATATGGTATACATAAAGAAACCAAACAAGCCCAGAGAAAGCCAAAGTCCTTTACTTCTGTGTGAACCACAGATTATGTATATTTAAGCCTTGAAGACATTCCTCACTTGTAAAAGATACATGAAAATTATTTAATGTGTCTACTTCATCAGATTTACTATATAAAGATCAAATTATATCTATATCTGGATACATATAAAAGGATTCTGTAGATGCTAAAGTATGAAGTTACTTAAGGGCATATATTAATATTATTTACTATCTAAAACTTACTCTCAATAACAATTCAATTCCCAAGGACAATGTCCTATATAGTATGTTCAAAAATAGTAGCCAACCATCTCTCACTTATATTTCTACATTTAAAACCTGGAATCAGGAGATTTGTGGCACAAATTCAAGCTGGAAACTGGCTGTTCCAGAAATTTTTTATTTTCTCTTTTTTAGCATTGTAGTGGTACATTTTGATTTTCGAAAAACCAGTGATTGAAACTGGCAGGGTTTATGCACAGAAGCAGAGGGGCAGAGGGGGAGGTGGCTCAAATAATGTATACACATGTAAGTAAATGTAAAAACAATAAAATAAAATTTAAATTTAAAAAAAGAAAACACTGGCAGGGTGAAGAGAGATCTTCACAAAACAGAGTTCTATCTAATACAGCTATAGTGACTGCCAAATAATTAGTTTACAAATTTCCAGAGTTCATTGTTTGGTGAACCCAAAATATGCCCTTGGGAATCTTTGAACTGTTCAAATACGGGTAGCTTTAAAACCATTTAAAGAAACTTAAATGAATAAACATTTGGGAGACAATGCTATTCTACCCCATTTGTTCTGTTCTTGAGTGTGGATACCATCATTGCATTCTTTCCATTCTTCCCCAGTGTTTCTTCAAAGACATTACCTCCAGGATGAACACCTTCTGTTTCATATTTCTCCTATGCCAAGAGCATTCTAAAACATTTTGCTCAAAAATATATGAGAACAATAAAAAATTTCTAGCATTATCATTTCTAATCATTTAGTCAGTTTTAGCATGTGTTGGCTTGAATGTTTTGTTAAATATTTCATCACTGGATGCTAGTGTTAAGGCAGCCCTTTGTTAATGCTAATATCATAGGTATGGCCACAAGATGCTAAAAGGTTCAAAAATGCTGCAAAGAATAGTCTGTTCCTGTAGAGTAACTCCTTTAGTGGGTGGTACCCACTGCCTAGGTTCCAAGACTGTTGGATGCTAATGAAACAGAGTGGCTCACTCTCCAGGCATTGAAAGTCATAAGACTTTTTGTTGTGGTTCAACTTAATAGTAATTTATGAAACAATCACGGTAAAAAGTACTGAAGGCTTAGAAGTAAAATCTCCATTAATAATGTTCAGTATTATTAATCTCTTACTGGAAATACATCTTGCCATTTTGCTGGAAGGTGAATGAGGAAAACATTTCCATGTTTAGTGTATACAAACAAACTAAGCTAGAACAAGCACAAATTTATTGGTCATAACCTCTTAAAATATGCCAGCCTTATAATAATCC